CGCAGGAAAAAAATAAAAAAGAAGAGAAAACTACAGCGCAGTCAGGGTTACAGTTTGTAATTGCATTTGGAACTGCATTTTAGCAGTTTAGTCAGGGCCCGAGTTTCAAAAGCAGTTTGAAACTCGGGCTGGCTTTCTCTAGAAGTTCAGTCAGGCACATGGCCGTTTCTTTCTTTCTTTCTTCAGTTTTTTTTTTTTGTTTTTTTTTTTCCGGTTGGCACCGTGCCGTTCCGCGGCTGGGAAAAAAAAAAAAAAAAAAAAAANNNCCCCATGGTTGGGCCACGGCCGAGATGTCTCGGCCACACCCCGGCCGGGCCAAAAAATAAATAAAAAAATAAAAAATATTTTTTAACTTCATTTTTTATTTTAAATTTGGTAAAGAATTTCGATGTGACCCTGAGGCAAAAGTTGTTCAGTTTATTTTTCTGCATAACATAGTTTGTTTCCGGAATTTTGTGATTTTTTTTTTTTTTTTTTTTTTTGCTATGGCCTTCCCTGGGTCTTGCACGGCCGGGCCGTCCGGGAAAATAGGGTGACCCGGGCGGCCCGGCTGGTAGCCTAGGCAGGCACGGGAAAAAAAAAAACAAAAAAAAAACACGAGTGGCCACTGATTTTGCCACTTCCAAACTTCTAACCAACCGCTAGAAGTACAGAAATCTGTAGCAGTTCAGAATCTGTTTTTGGCATTTTTTGCAGTTTCTAACTGCCCTCCCTCGGCCCAGAACCGCACTGCCCTGTTACTCCTGTTATTCCTTCCTGCGAATTATTCGGAACTGTGCAGCAACCGGTCAGCGGCGCAGTTATTTCTTCTTCTCTTCTATTGCTTGACAAGCAAGTTGACATCTTGTATTCTTCTTTTCTATTGTTGTACTTCTTCTCTAAGTCCTGTTGTTCTTGCGCTTTTTCCTCTCCTCCTCTCCCACGTCTCCTTGTCTCCCCGAGTTTTTTTTCTCCTGCCTCTTCCTCTTCCTCTTCTTCTTCTTCTTCTTCTTCTTCTTCTTCTTCAGAATCTCCTCCTCCTCCTGCTGCTGCTGCTGCTGCTGCTGCTGCTGCTGTTCTCTGCCTCCATCCCCTCTAGGCTCTCGCCATTCCAGCAGCTCCACCTCCTTCTAACTTGGTTCACCACCTCCTTTCCATCCCACTCCTCGTCTTCCTCTCTCTTCTTTTCCCCATCCTCCGTCCGCGACTCTTCTTTCTGGTCTTGTGAGTTCTGTTCTGCCTGTAGTTCTTCTAGACTAGCCTCCATTTCATCCCTCAGGCTGCCCTCCCACTGCTCAGATCCCTTCTTTTTCCTGCTCTCCTCCCTGTTTTCCTACTCCCTCTCATTTATGTTCTTCCCCTTATGCTCCCCTGCTCCCTTGCTCCCTTCAAGTTGCTCATCCCCTACCTCCACTTTCTCCCCTGCCTCTTATTTCTTCCCTCTATCTCCCCCTCCTCCTCCCTGCCTTAAAGTTGTCTTGTCCTCCTTTCCCCCTCTGTTTTGTTCCCCTCTCTAGCGGACCCACCAGGTGTGGTGCTCCGCTAGTGACAGAGATGGAGATGAAGGAAGAAGGGGGAGCAAGATGGCACAACGCAGCTCCCCACGCAAGACTCCAACGCACGTACTCCAAAATGTGCAAGTGAGGAATGAGACTGAAAACAGACAATGGCTGGGGTATAACCCAGCGGACTGACGGGACTAGACTGGACTGGCTGGTACCGACAGAGGTACCGGCCTGGACTGGCCTACCCCGAATATAACACAGGCCTGTGAGAACAGGCCAGGGGGCTGGTCTCACAGGCCAACCCGAGGTCCGCTACACGATCCTCGGCCTGTGATGGAT